AAAAAAGAATGTAAAAATAAAAGTAAATAAAAAGTTCCAATTAATTTACTACTTAAATAACCTAAATATATCTGTTTTCTTTCAAACAAAAGAAACCGCACGGAATCATTTTACACTTTGTTGACAAGTTTATGGCTTGACGCCGTTCGTAATAATTATTAAATCCATATTTTAGTGCAAACGGCTTCCTTTTAGTCGTAATGACTCTATTCCAACTACAGTATAAATTATCTTGGTCCAACTTAATAATAATAAATTTGATGCGAAAAATTTTTTTCTATTCTTTGTCTATGGAGAGATATTGTTGTAAATTATTGGTTGTTATAGCTTTTTGTACATTCCTTTTTGAACTCTGGTTAGTTTTTTCTAGTTTGAATGACATTAGGTTGACGAATAAGCGTCTTTTCAGAAAAGATTGATTCAAATTCGACTATACCAATCAGAATCTAGAATGTAAACAAATGCTAAAAAATCGTTATTTTCATGGTTTTTCAGCGCTATTTTCACTTATTTTTGTTATTTGACGCTATTTAGACGAATAAGCAAGTTTTCCGAAGCATAAAATTGAAGATTTCCCGCCAAAATAGAAACTTCCTGATAACATCGGAAATGACGTTCTATCATCATTTTATTCTATTTGATTCTTCAAAAAATCGTTATAATACTATGTATTAGACTTAAAATATTCGATATCTAAACCAGAAAGTGTTAGCTAGAAATAGACTTATTTATAGAACAATCCCCCATTTCTCACCTCAGAGAAAGTCATAAAACAGTTGGGTGCTAATGACTGTGAAAGGGAAAAGTTCTACACTTAAGAAACTTCGAAAGAAGGGATTTGGCCTGTGCCGTCCGCGGGCCACATAAACATTGATAGGGGGCCTTATGTGGCCCGCGGGCCGCAGGTTGTGCACTCCTGTTTATACGGATTATTCCCAAAAAAAATATACGTATTTTGGAAATGTTGAATCGGATTAGTCTAGAATCGATTAATTTTATGGAAGAAAACCTTTCAATCAGCCGTAGTTTGTAAACTTCACACGTGTCGGGCTGTGATTGGAAGGACTCGTAAGAAATCGGATTCCTAAAAAATGGAACGTATCTATGATCTTATAGGGGGGGTCGACTGTATTTTATTAAATAGATATAAAACAAAACAAAAAACATTCTCCTGCAATCCTTAAAATAATACACTAACCTCTACCTCTAAAGGAAAATGTTACTGTAATGTATGAATTTATCTATGTGATATTTATATAATTAAAAATTTTTAAAAATAATTATAGTGTGAACTTACCTTATTAATCATTTGTATCAGAAGATAGTTGCTCAAAGTAATCATTTATATCGCTTTCATCACTACTTGCATTAGACTGAATAATCAGTTTTTCTACAACAGTTTTCGAAATCTCATCAAGTTCCCACATTTGTTGTTGTTCTTTTTCTATATGTTTGATGCATTTTCTCCATCGTTCTTCAGTTATTTGTTTGATAGCTTTATTCATTAAAATTTGTACATCCAACAGTTTGAATGTTGTGTTGTGATGTGTGATGTAACCTTTCATATCTGCCCATATCAATTCAATAGGATTTAAATTACAATGATACGGAGGTAAACATAACACATCGATACCCATTTCTTTGGACATTTCGTCAATAATATATTTATCGTATTTATGTTTTATTTTTTTTAACAATATCCAAAAGTTCTATTTTCAACATTTTGTCGTTATGATGAACCCTATTTTTTTCCAATCAAGAAATTATGTCAGCTTTTTTCCAATTACAATTTGGAATCTTCTCAATTTTAGCTGAGTGATATGGAGCATTGTCCATGACAACAATAGCATTACTTTCTAATTTCGATAATATTTTTTTCAAACCATTTTTTGAAATTCTTGCTATCCATTTCTTCATGGTAGTCTTTTTGTTGACTTTAATTCAAATTCATATAGACCATCATTAAGAAAACCTGTATTACTGCCTATATGAACAACAACTATTCGTTTTCCCTTTCCAGAAGGATTTTTCAATCCAGTAGATCGTCCAGACATAAAAGCTTCATGATATGACGTAATTGAACAGTCCTTCCATAGTTTATTCTTGGTGTATTCTTGGTGTGGCCCACATTAATCCTGTTTCGTCCAAATAGTAAATCTTACGACCTAAAGAACATATTTCTCTTATTTTTCCTAGATATTGTCTTTGCCATAAAATGATATCGTCTCTTTCAATTAATCTACTATTCTGTTTCGATTCGTATATTTAAAATTAAGTAATTTTAACAAATTATATATCGTAGATCTAGTAAAGTCTGGTAAATCTGGATCATCATTAACAGCCTGTAATACCTTATCTACAATAGGTAATTCATTTAAAAAAATAAAAATTGTGTACTTTACCTCTAATGGCACATTTTGTGAATTTGTCATATTTGTCAACAAGTTGAGTACGCTTACGGGCTTTCGAAGGAGTTAATACCTTACCATTAGTAAAATATTCTTTGCGAATTCTGTAAATGCTCTGTTCTGATATCCCTGTTGTCTTTGCTACCATTTTCACTATATCCTTCATGCAGACTTCTGGATTCGTTTCAGTTAAAGAATTAAACAAATTTAATACTATTTGTTTATCTGAGCTCCTCATCAATTTTTCCTTGCTGATGTTTAATCATATTTACATTCAAGTTTTTCATTTTTGTAATTTAACAACACAGTTTGAAATAACAATAGTTATTGTAATGAATGGAAAAGAAACAAAAACATTATAGTGTGCATGACTGGAAAAAGTTTATTTCTAATGATTCAGAATGTGCAAATATTCGTTAAAATAACAACTTAACAAATATGAAATAATTACATTTATAATCACTGCTAAGTGACTAGTATTTCATTAATGATTTTATAAATAACAAAGAACTATTTTCTGCAGACAAATGAGATGCAATGTGATTTTTAATTGATGGATGTGGGTTTAAACCAATAAACAAAGGAAGGTGTGTCTTAGTTTGTTTACAGAAGGTGCCAAGTTATGATAAATAGACTATAGTGATTTTGAATCTTTTTGAGCTAGAGAGACACTCAAAATTTTTGGTGATGTACCAAAAATTGTATTGCATCAAACATGCTTTTATATCTGTAAAAATAAAATATGATGTTAAAGGTCTTCATTTTTTATATATTAAAAAAATAAAAGTATTATTAAAATTATTAAAAAATTTAGAATTTTTAAATAAATTTTTAAAACTTTACAGCGTTCCTATGAGAAGTTTATGGCACACTGGACTAATCTATCATTACTGTAATATTTAAGTTAATTGTAGTGATTTTTGTATTGTGATGATGTATTGTGTTTACTACTATGATTTAACAGGTAAAATTATAAAATTCTCTGCAACATTTGAAAGTTTCTATTCAAAACTTTTTTTATTTACTGAACTTATCCATTTATTGTGGTGTTTTTTGGCATAATTATTGGAATGTTAAATAATCTTTAGATTTTAATAAGTTAACTTTATATACTGAAGTTTAGGTTACATTTTTATTTAAAAATCCAAAATATAACTTTTGCATGAGCAAATAGATATTTTTCTGATGATAAGAAGACAATAATAGAATTTTATCGATGTACATAAATTACATGATTAATACATTCAATATTGAAAAGAAAATAGTATAAACATTGTATATAAATAGTTTTCGGCTAGTTAAGCCTAGTTAGGCTTAACTAGTAAACATGTTTTTCCCATGCTGTTTCAAAGTTTGGAACAAAAATTGACTGATTACAATTGTTTTATAATAAAATCTTGTTCTATAGCCAATTCACATAAGTGGAATCCACATCATTTGGACTACATTACACGAGCAAACATTGTGTAGTTAGCAGCTGCTTCTTGCACACATAGCTTACCTAGCAAAAGTGGCTCATAGTCTCATGGGAAAAAAGGCAGAGCTTGGGAGTGCGACTGAGCGTATGCTAGCTCCTGCTTCCTGTAGTTTGCGGCGGCTCTTATAATAAAAGTTTATTGATCCAGCATCTACCTGTGAGACCAGAGTAATGCAGATTACCAAATGTTTTTGTATTTTTCAATAATTCAATAAGTTATATGCTATCTGAATGTTGCAGATATTGTAAAAAATTTCATCAGTGCTTACTGCTTTATGCTTCTGATTTGCTTATGAATAACTATACTGTATTAAGATTGATTGAAAAATCTGCAAAGATGATAATTAACACATTATTGCTCAAAGTCAACATTCACATTCATGTCCATATATGAGAAATCTGTTTTTAAGTGTGCTGTCCTTGCATTGATCTGTAGGAAAGAAAATACATTGGTCATGCCCATTTTTAAACACAAAACACATATGCTAGCTCAAATGAAGCAGTGTTGTTCAATACAATATAATGTAACCTAGAGAGGATTAAATTTTACTTGTACTAAAACCTGTAAACATCAGGTGATACTTTCAAGTTTGATTCTGAAAGATATTTGCATAAAATTGTTTGGAGATTGTGGTATAAACTGTATTAGGCATAGGAAAGCATGAGTGAAAGCATTCAAACCAACACAAACAAGATATTTTAACAAGATAAACCATTTTTTTCAATTTTATGGTTATCTTTGACATGTAAAATTTTTCCTCACTTTTACCTTGATTTCTACCCAGAGTGTTTAGCATACCATGTGTCTAAACAAATTTTAATTTGCACAATACTAGCTGCCAAATTATCGTCAGACAATTTCAGATTATTGGTTACTTTAAAGAGGTGCAGATTATCAGGCATTCTGTATTATCAGGTTTCAGATTAATGAACTTCTATTGTAATCAAATGAAATAAAATATTTATTGAGTATTACCCATAAACTAAATTTATAAGAAAAATAAAAATCTTCAATATGTTCAAAAAAAAGCTCAAAAGTATCTTATGTAAGCATTAATTTGAACTGTTCTTTTTTAAGTGAATAATAACAGGCTTTGTTTATTCCTTTTTCAAATGCTCAATAATTGATTTATCAGTAAAATCATTTTTTCTAATTTTTCTTTATGCATTTGTTATAATTTAGTGTATTATTCTCAAATGCAAATTCCTGTTGCAACTGCAAATCGACCATCTCTGACTAATTTGGGACAGAACAATTCTGCAGCTTTCAAAAAAGAAAGGAAACTCATACGCATTCAAGAACCTGGAACGTTCAGGGATATAACTGAAGACATTATGAGTGCTGGAAGTTCTGGTTATTCAAGTGCCAGAGGGACATCTCCTGTTGTAAGTTTAAATTAAATAAATTACTTCAGAATAACTGCTTAACTCTAGTGTGATTTGAAAGTGGTTAAATTGTGATTATCACATTGTTTTAAACAGTTCATTATTCTTATAGTGATTTCATTATTATTATTTGTTGTTGTTATGAAATTTTTATTTGCTTTAACTTTTTAAAATTGTTATTTAGCATTTATTAAATTTATTTTTTGTGACAAGGAAAAAAGTTGATCAGAATGAAATAGAAGTTATCACAATAATTACTCTTATTTGATGAAATTTTTAAAAGATGGTTTTATCAGTTGTAAAATAAAGTGGGAAAAAAGGCTGTTGCAAAGAAGTTACTATTTTATATTTATGAATAGAAAATGAAAATATAATGTTTTTGTTTTATACTGTTTTGTTAAATACAGATAAATATACTGTATATTATATTTTACAAATGATATATACTTTAAAATATTTTACGGTTATTATTGGTAGATGTTTAATAGTAGATAACTGTTATTGTAATTTATTATTTTCTGTTAGGTTGTTAAAAAATTGATATATCCTTTTTTCTATTTTCTAAACAGAATATTTAAAATAAAAAAACATTCATTAAAATCTTAAAATATTACTGAAAATATAAATATAAATAATTGAAATCATATTTTGTTCATTTTAAATGGAAGAATTTTTGAATTCTTAAAATATATTTACATTTTTGTCAAACTAATTAGTGATTATTTACTGATAATTTATTATATTTCTCATTGCAATAACAATTACAATTAGGAATGTGATAAACTGGGCATGTTCTGATTCACTTCTGAATGAGCTCAGTTTCTCATATTTTAAAATGAAGATATAAATCAAATAAAGTTGATTTAATAGTAAGATTGAGATAACTAACTTGTTGTATATCATATTAATGTTACATAGTTTGTCAACTAATGGATTGTCCCTAATGGATTAAAAGTAGTATTAAGGTGGATTAATATATTTATCAATTATCCAGCTAAAATAAAATTTATAAATTCAAGCTTTCATTGGAAAAGTTCATTTGTTATTGACAGTTAAGGTAGAATGAAGTATAGTTTTGAAATATTTAATATAATAAATCTTAGCACATTGAAATTCATATTTTTAAAGTAAAATTAAATAAATTTTCTGATGAAGACAGTCATAAAATGCAAATATTACTAATGCCATGCTTATACAGTCAAATGTGTAATATTATTTATTGTTGAATGTTATTAATAAACTAACAAATTTTGTATAAATGAACACAAAAGATCAGTATTAAAGAAATAAGAAATTTCATTATATCAGTAAAATAAAATGTTTTACTTTGATTTGTCATATCTAAAATTCACCATTGCAATAAATTAATTTTACATTAATGTGATAATTAAAAATTACGTAATTTGATGTGTTAAAGATAATTACAGTAGAGTATCAATTATCTGAATCAATTGGGGACTGGGGTTGTTTAGAAAATCGATTTTTTGGATAACTGATTATGTACGAAAAAATGTATTAACCTATCCCATGTTGAAATTCGTTCAAATCCTGGCATGTCCTTAAGTACCCTCTCATGGTCGCAGCCACTGCTGCCAGCTAAAACACGCACACCAACAAAAAATAATATTGGAGTAGCCTAAGACATAGTCAAAGATTGCAGCGCCACATCACTAGTGGAAATATAAATTTGCTGACTGGAAAATTTTCGGTTAATTGATGTTTTGGTTGATTGACATTCGGATAATTGATGCTCTACTTTAATTATATGTAGATGGTTTAATCTTCATTAAAGGATCCATGTTTGAAAGTTTTATTCAAAAATTTATATCAACAAAAGAGTTTTTTTTGTCAATAAAAAATGTCAGACTGGTAAAAATCATTTAAATAAAATAATGCAAAAAACTTTTATACATTATAAAATCTTTATACGTGAATTCTTTGATATACCGTATTTTGACAAGTATAAGTCGCTGTCGAGTATAAGACGCACCCCTATTTTGAGACAGAAAATTTAGAAAAAACTTTTTTAATGGGAGATTGCATTTTATTCGTTTTTTATTCAAGAATGTGACGGATGCATTTTATTCATTTTTTATTCAAGAATATGATGGATGGGTGAATCAACACCTTTATTAAACTGAAATAATCATCATTTCTTAATGTAAACTCAGAGGTCATGCAATGACAGTCGACAGAACATGGTGGCGATGACTCGTGTGTCGCTATTCTGATAATCTAGGTACTCTAGCCATTCGGTTGAGGGGTCATGTGCTTAACGGATCACTGCACAGGTTGGTCCCTAGAGTGGACCACTACTGTAAATAATTTCACTGTAAAAATGGTTACCTGTCGAGTATAAGACGCATTATGATTTTGAGCCCCAAAAAGTAGTAAAAAAAGTGTGACTTATACTCGTCAAAATACGGTAAATGAAATGTTCTGATTAATAACAATTTAAACATAAAAATTGTTATTAATCAAAACATTTCATTATTCATTATTAATTTGTATTAATATAAAAAAAACATTTGTGATGATGCAGAATGTAACAAGAGTTTTTGGTATATTAGCAATTTTGATTTTTTTTATATCTAAGGTGATATTTAATTTTCATACCATTAAAGTGGAATCATAGTTTAGAATCAATGCCATGTAGGAAGTGAAAATTAGTGGGGAAACGACATTAGTAATACTCCCATAATTTCTGTAAAAGTGTCTTAAATTCCTGAATGTTATTTGGATTATTTATGACAAGATCATTTTTTTTAATGAAAAGACATTGATTCTGATGAAGGAAACTTGTGTTCATGTAATCTTTGTTGAGTGATGCTTTGTTTGACAGAAAATGAATACAAGTGAGCTTAGTTGTTCTCATGAATTTTGCACAGTAAAATTTGAAAAAGTATCTGTACTTATTAGAAACTTTTGTTATATATATTTATAATGGAAGAATAGAACTTGGTCATGAGGATGAATTTGTATTCTTAATGAAAGTTTTGGACAGTATTTAGAAAAGTGAGTTGAAATGGTGGACATGACACGTTGGCTATTAATTTAGTTATACTCTTTAGGAATAATGAATGGATATTTATTTTCACATTTGATAAATTGATTCAGAGGAACAGCTGTACCAGAAACTTTTGTTATGCCCTGTGTTTTTAATTGGAATTCAAATCACATTTTGGTGCCTGTGTTGCTACAGTAAAAATTTTCTGAACATTAAATTATTTTACAGTAATTTTTTAATGTGAGTATTGAAATTAAACATTAAATTAATTTAATATAAATAAATGCTTTAAACTTTTATTTTACAGGATTCTGGGCACCAGGACAATCATATTGCTGCCATGTTTGCAGCTCAAGTTGCAGCACTTGCTAATGGAACTTCTATTAAGTCATCATTACAGAATGTTTCTGTAAATCTAGAACAAGCTTCTTTAGTGAATAATGTGATTGTAGAACAGCAAGAAACTGACTCCAACAATCGGTTATCAGAAAGTGATGATTTTATTGAAACAAATGTGATATTAAATGAAAATGGACCACCTGATAATAGGATAGACACAATTGAAGAAATTAAAAAAGAAATTGATAGGCCTAATGTTGAAACAAACGTATCAATGATGGCTCAGGTAATAGATTGTGTTGGACCAGAAAAGTGTGTTTGTGATAAATCTGAATTAATACCAGACAGTCAGTCTACCTCTTCTGTAGATATTGAACTATGCAGATCAAATTTAATAATAAACACAAATAAAATGTTAGAACCTCATAATGAATTGCAGATGAATGAAAATTTTGATGAATATATAGATGAAATAAGTCTTTCAAATAAACCAAGTAGGAGAATTGATGAAAGAGAGATAATTGAAAAATCACCTGGTTTAAATCGAGAAATATATGAAAATAAGTCAAACACACTTCAGTTCATTGAAACTCAGTCAGATATAGATGAAAAACAAAAATGTGTTTCACCTCAAAATGGCGAAATTGCAGGAGAAGCAACAACTAATGAAGTCAAAGAAGTTGTAGAAGGTAAGCTAATGAATAGTAATTAGGTTATGTTATGCTTGATATACTTTTTTAAAATTATATAAATCACTATTTTTCAACATTTTTTTATAATATTTAAATAATATTTAAAAAATTTTTCTACCCATGACCCAGAAGGTCTTAATATACAGATCCTGGGGCATTGGCAATGTAATTTTATTTTGTTGTTTTCTGATTCATGTCATTATGTAACTGTAATTAAGCTGCTATCCATGACAAGGAATATTCAAATTAAACTTGATCAGTGGAAAGATTAGAATAAACTAAAGTAGAGCGTCGTTTATCCGAAATGCCGGTTATCCGAAAGCATTCCAGTTGGCAAATTTAAATTTCTGCTAGTGCTGTGGCATTGCAATCTTTAGCTATAGCTTGGGCTACTCCAATATTTTTTTTGTTGGTGTGTGTGTTTTAGCTGGCAGCACTGACACTTTTGTGTGGTGCTTTTCTGAAGACTGTGTGTCATTCTGAATCGAACATTTTTGATACTAGATCATCTTCTAAAGTATATATTTTTTGGTTTTTATATTTTTCGATATATTTATTTTGTTTGTAAGAAATAAAGAAATAATTTTTAACGATACAATAGCCACAATTATTATTTTAAAAAGTATATGTTAGGCTTAACATCGATGAAAATTCAATGCGAAGCAACATGCAACAGAGAAAAATTTCAACATGGGATAGGTTAATATATTTTTTCATACACAATCAGTTATCCGAACCACCCAGTCACCAATTGATTCGGATAAATGACACTCTGCTGTATTAGAGGTAGATGCTAGGTACCATCTCTTATCTAAATTAATTATTATAATTTTTAATAATTTAGAATCATTTGGAAGAAACTAGCCGCGAGTGTGACTTGAAACAGCACCCTCTCCTTACTGTGCCAGTTATGCCATCCAAACCTCCAAGCAATTCTTTGCTTCCAGGCATATTTAAACTTTACATATAAACATACAAGATTACTCATGGTGCAGCTGGAAACAACTCCTACACCCACGACCTAAATACACCTCCATTATGGCTGAGTAGGAGTTGTTCCAAGCTGGCACTATGAGTAATCATGTATGTTTATATCTAAAGTTTAAATATGTCTGGAAGCAAAGAATTGCTTGGAGGTCCAGGTGGTATAACTGGCAAGTGCACTGCATGATAAGCAGAGGTTCTGGGTTCAAGTCCCACTCCAGGTTAGTTCTTTTCTTCCAGATGGTTCTAAATTTTTTAATAAATTATTATAATTATTAATTTAGATAAGAGATGATACCTAGCATCTACCTCTAATACCAAATTACTTAATATCTAACTAATCATTAATAATAGCAAATTTATAGCCTGATTNGGCTACTACCACATACAAACACCATTCATGTGCGATGTGTAGTTTTGACTGAAAAGTGAAATATAGGGACACACATGTCCATTTATATATATATATATATATATATTATATTATATTATATATGTATATATTATTATTAATTTGCATATCACTAGCATATATTATTTTAGAACCTAGTATGTCATTAAACCAATCTTAAACCTTTACTAGCCAAATTAGTCATTAAATTCATTAATCAAATGTTTGCAGCAGTCTAAGCAATCATCTTTTAAGATGTAATATCATAGATAAAAGGATTCACAAACTGCTTTACAAGCTGATATTCAATAACAGTTTTTGAAACAAATTAGAACCTAGTGTACTGATGGTTATGGAATATGCTGATACTCAGTAGGCTTAAGGCCTGCAACTCTGTGAGAAAAAAACCACACTGCCTGCTGGAAGCCTAGTAGTTGTGGCCCACATCCAGAAAAGGTTGCTCATCACTGCTTTACAATAATGATTAAATCATTGGTTCTCAACCTTTCTGATGTCTTAGAACACCGTTCACCTTTATTACATGGAGCATTAGCATTAATATATTTAAAAATCAACAAATGATACTATTCTCAAAAAACAATGAAGCAATAAACTTTATTGTCTATACTAATATTATAAAGAGGTAATGTTTGTATGTAAGTTCGTATGCAGCAGGTAATCTCCGAAACTACTCATTCGATTTCAAAAATTCTTTCACCAATATTTAGAATGGAACTTTAGGGTGGACATAGGCTGTATATTATTTCGTTAAACATTCATATAAATTAAAAGATATAATCTAGGTTAAGGCTTTTATGTCCAACAGATGGCGCTATGAGTACGACTCCCTAAGTTTGCTTTTCTGTGAAAATGAACTAAAGCGGATCATCTATGTATTTATATAAATAAAAATGTAATGTTCGTTTGTTCATACGGATTCGTTTGAAATTTTGACACAACGCTGCATTCAAATACGCACGTGTTTTTATATAATATACGTGTCCAGGGCTTTGGAGCAACCATTTTTTTGAGTTGCTCCGCTCTGGTATCAAAGTATTTGCTCCAGCTCCGCTCCATGCTCCGGTTAAAATATTCTTATAGGAATTACACTAATTTTGTCTTTGATATGTAAGTACGCATAAAAAAACTTGTTTATTTACAACTAATTTATTATTTAAAAAATTAACATACATCCTCATTATTGATTTTAATAAATAGACTGGGGAGTCATGAAGGGGAAGGAATAGCTTGGTCAGGGGATAGTGGAGACTGGAGAGAGAGGTTCCCACCTTTCACATGGGACATAAGCGGAATGGATATAAAATTAATCTGTGCTTGTGATCACCTTTCTTTTTAGTTCAATTATTGTATTTTTAACATTTGTAAATATTACAACTTATGCCACTTCCATTCTCATTGTCTCAAATATTAAATAAATATATATATATTGGAGCAGTGGAGCACTACAAATTTCCGTGCTCCGGCTCCGCTCCTGCTTCGAGTAAAAATCCATTGCTCCACCTGCTCCATGCTCCAGCTCCAGCTCCGCTCCAAAGCCCTGTATGTGTCGAAATTCAACCCCACTGGGAGGGAGACGGACAAGATTAAGGCTTATGGTAAAGAACTCTGCTTCTATTTATACTATTTTAGATGCGAGTTTTTGATAGCGTTTTAATAGGATATGTCAAGAGAATGTACACTAAGAAGAAACTTTTCAAAAAATTCCCTTCCATGGGGGAAGTGTTATAAATTTATAATAGATACATTTTGAGCAACAACAACGCGTGGCGGGGTCTGCTAGTATTGAATAAAATAGAAACAAGGAATTATCTATGAATAAAGTAATTTGTTGTAATACATCAAAATACATTTGCAAAAAAAAAAAGTTTAAAAATTTTTTTTCATCAAATATGCAAGGCAAGTTTGCAGAACACTGGTTAAGAATCACTGGATTAGCTAAAAAAAGAAGTATTATGTTTTTAAAAAGTAATTGATATTTTTTATTTATTACAAATAAAAATTACGTATCTTGCATATCAATTGTTAAAAAGTTTTTTAAAAAAATTTGTTTGCATGCTAATTAATAGAATTTTGTTTAATAATCAATTGTATTAAAAAAATTAAACATTTTTTAGAATTGCAACTCACTTGAAAAATAAATATTTTATCCCTTAGTATAAAGTTTTTATGCTTTAATAAAGCTTTAATATTTAGCTATTGGGTAATTTTGTTATAGAATATTATTCTATAACAAAATTTTTAATTAATATGTAGGAACATTATTAATATGCAGGAATATATATGAAAATATATGAAAATTATATTAGTTTTTTTATATTTGCTTTTATATTATTAAAAATAAATATACTTAATAAATATAAATATTATATTTTGAGACACCATAAAGTGTTGACACTAGTCACTGGTAGGGATTGCAATCCAGCAGTGTTTTTAATCCAGCTGGATTTTTGCTGGATCGTCATTCCAGCTGGATCCAGCATGGATATATTTTTGGTGCAATCTTGGTGCAAGTGTTATCTATCTATCTATCTATTTATCTATTCAGCAATTTATGGATTTTTTTAAAGAAATAAAACATTTTTTTAAAAAATACTTAAGAAACTTTTATTATTTAGATTGGTCACCATAAATAAATCAGTAAAACTTCTTACACATTTAGGTAGTAAACTTAACTTTGGTTTGGTTTAACACTTGAGATAGAGATAATTAACCTTAAATGTTTAGTTAGATTATAATTATAATGTAATCTTTAAGTTAAACAATAGCAAAGGTAATTCTACAAATTAATTTGTATTAATATATTATATTATATAATAATGTAAGGACAGATAATCAGTGGCTAAGTGGCTATCAGTCTTATGAGTTTTCTTATATAGGCTCTACATATCAGTCTGTAGTTACTGTATTTATAAGTAATTTAATTGTTAGTGTTAGTAAAGTAGTGAGTAACTAATTAGTAGTAGTCTAGTAGTTAGTTATTACTATCACAATCATGAATCACATACATTCATATCATCATATATCTAAGATACTGATACTCATTACTTTAATTACCTATTTAACTAACTAGGTAGTCTCAGTTTCTCACTAATTTTCACAATAAAATTGCCTAGCCTAGCTCACTAACCACTTATAGAATAAAAGTTAAAAACTTTTACTTAATAGAATTAGAGTAGAAGTTATAAAATATTAGTCTTGTCTTGAATAAAGTATTTTAAAGGATTATATAAAATTAAATCAATCACTTCTGTTATTTTTTTGACTTTTCTGGAAGTAGGATCTCAAGAAACAAATGGTATTGGTGATGTCTCCCAACCTACTTCTTAATGAACTGCATATATATCCTGCTTCAGAGAAGGCCTTTTCTGCCTCTACGCTAGTTGGTTTCAGGGTCATCAAATAATCATAAATCAAAGATAAGGTTTTACCTCTGACTACCTCGCTTTCATAAACAGTCATTTCCTTTTTTAATAACTTATCATAATCCTTCTCAGTACTAGTTTCTTTCCATTTCATGAAGTTTTATTTCTCACGCTTTAGTTGGATCTCCAATTCTTGTTCCAATGTGAAATTCAGGGAATCTGGGTTATCTGGTTTATTGTTTTCCACCTCCATAATCTCCTCTGCCATTGCTGCTGGTTCCACTACATATATATTTACATGATTCAGCATATTTTTCATCTGGTGCATTA